TGATTGAGATGATTTTGCTTTTAATTAAACTGGGTTGTAATAATTGTTCATGAAATTCCGAGAACTTTCTTTCCAATCAAATACTATGAAAACAGGAGAGAACAAGAAACTATATTCTGTTCTTTGTGAGAAATCACACATAGAACAGAATGCATCACAAAACATAACTATAAGCCCTGCCCATTGTGTTGGATGTGCCATTCAGGGTAATATGTTTGACATACATTATGTATTTAGCTATACTATAAATTATGAATCAACATATAAAGCCTGCAACAATTTGCCTTAGGATGTGACTAAAATTGCATAATCCAAAGTCTTGCATACTCTTTTTTCCTAAAGGTGCACTTGTGTGTGAAGAAAAGTGTTGGATGTGACATTTCATGAAACTCCAGGTTAAAATATCACTTGCTCTAATGGTCACATTTCTGTTATAAAGCAGAACCTATCAATTTCATATTATGCTCTTCCTATAAAATAACTTAAACCCAGGAATTAGTGTGTTACCCCAAGATTACAAAACCTAGAAAATAAAGCCAGGCTATTTTGTGACCAAGTTGGATATGACACATTCTGAAAATGTATTTTAAACCAACAAGCCCGTACATATCTTTTAATGTTATTTTTTAAATATTAAAATGTTAACAATTTACATCTCTTCACACCTGAGTTGATTTGAAATTATCAATATGCATGGGAGAATCCATGCTGGCATCTGTTCCAATAGTCCAATTCAGTCTCTCCAGATTTTCATTTCCATTACAACCATGAATATCATGAGAATGGTATGAATAATATGAGAAAAATGACTATTTAAGTTTTAAAGATAATATTCTCAGTCATTCATGCATTCAGGGATAAGAGATGATGAAATTAAGTAGCAAAAGTAATATCCACAAATTCAAAACAATTTCCTGCTAATGAGATGTGGCACCTCACAGGTCTCCATGACTCTTGAATAGCAGAGATTGACTTAAAAAGGATCTCAAATGGTGGAAGACCTCAATCAATGATAAATCTTGATTCTGAAGAAGCAGCTTTCCATGAATCCTTGGGGATCCATGGCACAGGGGTGTTGTTGCCTTCCTGTTCTATTTAGGTCAGAAGCTCATGTCACTCATCAGCCTCTCACTACACAGCACATGGGATGAGAACTGCTGCATTAAGCCATTTTTATTTAGAGCAATTTATTAATGAACCACATGATCATGTACAGCCTAATTGTATGGGGGAAAAAAAAACTAACACCAACCATGGAAGACCACATGGGGCAATATCAATTCATACATTGACCCAGCATGGACATGCTTACATAGTTCCAAGCAATGCAACATGTAGTGAATTCATGTGATTGACAGAATTAGAACCTATTTAAGTCAACAATATGAACATAGATCCAGAATCCAGTTTCTCAGATGAGTGACGGAGATTAGCATACAGGAGAAGTCAGCTGGATTTGGTTTGAGCAGGAAATTAAAATGTAAGGAGGCAAGGAAAAACATGGATCTTGCACTTTGGAGACTCATAAAATTATTCAGCTGTGACAAGCAAGCATGATGCTTGCCCAAGTTTTTCCAAACATCCCTGGTCTCTCAAAACACCAAAACATCCAGAGCCTTTCTCTTTCATGTTCCAAAGCATAGTTCAGGGAACATTTTTGTGGTCCAACATGTCCAACCAGTTGAAATTCCCATTTTCAATGCCATAAATGAAAAAATTGACAATCTGATCAAATCTAACCTGAAAGCCTGGCACAGATTTACCTAATGAACATAGGGTAAAGGCACTGGTTTCTGGACAGGTTAAGGAAATTTTCCTCTTGAAAATTGTGTTATGGTTGTTGGGGTAACTGAGAAACGGCTTGATTGGTTTCAATGGGAGGCCACTTATAGCTTGATGCCCATACCCTAAAATAACATTAAAAATATACTTTTCCAAAAATCACTGTTTCAATGAATATGTGCTGATTTTCACACGGTTCCTATTTGTGGACATCCATGGACATAGTTTGTGGACACCAGTTTTTGTCAACAATTATGAACATATGTAGACCGAATAGAAAAATATGGGCATGAGACATATACAGCAATTGTATTTATCTTCAATGATGTCCTGTTAAGAAACATCATTGGAAAATTAAGGAATTCAGGGATGCTAGGTTTATAACTGAGCAAAAATGTCCAAGTTCACTCATGCTGATGGGTATGCATAATTTATATGGTGGCTGACAGGTATGTGCAAGATATGGAGCATTTAAGGAAAAAAAATTTTTGGCATGAATTTTGTGAAATGGCAAAAAATGCAAAACTGTCCACAAGTAGGCATCTGTCCACAAACTGGTGCCTCTACCCTATCTGAAGCAATCAACATCTGAAAGTCATGTAACACTTGAACTCACCCTCATTAGAGGTGAAAGTGAAGCCAACAGTGGGGAGTGGACCTCAAGTACCCCTCCATCACAGATGAGAAGCACATCCCATTCTGTTTTTGAATTCCACAATTCTATTAGAACTGATGTAGGGTCCATTTTGTCACAAGTTTCTGATTTAAATGACAAAAATGTACTGAATGATGTTTGACAAGAACTCATAAGGCACTTGACTCCTGAGCACCTGTGGCATAAATGAACACCATGTGAAAAATCATCCTTGCCAGAGGGGAATAAATCAATATGATTTATGCAAGAAAAACCAGGCAGAATTAATCACTTAGAAATTCCTATAAAATAGAGACTCAAAATGCCAGTCATGTAGGGAAAGAACAGGAAGAAAGGGAGGAAAAAAGAGAAGTGAAGAAAGAGGCATGTGTCCCTTTGTTTTACATTCAGTTTTGAAGAATACACAAATCAAAGTTCCAACATTCACAGGCCTTAAATCACTGCATGTGACAAATTTATGAAATTACATATCACAGTGTCATCCCAACTCATGATGTGCAGACATTGCAGCATGACTGCCTGATGCAAGAATTGCACAGGTATTACACCATACCAATGAAACTATAAAGTTCAGGACTCCAGGAAATCCTGCACATTTAAAAGCAATCAAGCCTGAATGAGAGGGAAAACTTTATTTTTATTTAAAAATCAAGAATAATGTTTTGATACAAGACAAAGAAGGAAAGTGAAACAATTACAGAATCTTCAGTCACTTTCACCTGCCAGCAGTTTTGCTGGTAGAAGTGCTAGGTTTTCCTTCTGTTCCATTTGGAAACGTACTTTGAGAACTGTATGGAATTGGAAAATATGTTCCCTTGGTCACTCAGAGAGACTGAAGTGCAAGAATATTCATTCAATTCAAGCACAAAAATGAGTGGCAAAGTAAATGCATATCACAGCTGTTAGGGTGGTAAAGATGTAACCTGCCATGTTCCACAAGGAAACACTTCTTTGAGTCATGTCAATGAACAATCAGCAAACATGCAGATAACCCTATTCCTGAATCAGAATCACATCTCCCTTGACTCCTGAAGGCAATATCATGCTATCAGTTGTATCATTCTTGCACTTATAGAACAGGAAATGGCTAGCACAAAGAATCCTGAACCAGTTCATTTGGTTACAAGTATCAGGTCATAAAAACATTTCATTAGTGGTTCAATTTTAGTAAATTAACATTAAGTTGTACTGACAAAAAGAGGACTTCATAAGCTTTTCCAAACTGAAACTTACCTTGTTCCTAGGACAAATATGGAAAAGGCAAAAAATCTCTAATAAAGAATTTCCAAGATGGAGCAATGTCTTGTAATCATGACTTCAGCCTGAAATGACTACAGAATACAACAGCATCAAGGACAAAGCAATGACCATGCATTTGGAACAAATATGGAACCAACAGAATATAGATAAATCAACAAAATATCAGGCAAAATAGAGAAAATTTGAATCCTTGCATGGCTTCTCCATAAGTCTTGCTGTTAGTGAATAGCCAATTGTAGTTAGCTGCATGAACAAATGCTGTATTCTAGTCATGATAGAAATCAGCCTCTCAATTTAAGTGAACTAGATGGAATTTGTTTCAACTCTGTAGTCACTTCAAATCTGATCTGATCATATGAACAGAGAGACCCTGTGAGGTAGGGAAATCATGGTCCACAGCATGTTGGCATGTCAATGCAATCACACTTGTTGGATTTTTGGCATCATGTGGGGCATTAACTTAGTGGGAAATAAAAGCTAAAGCATCTGGCGATCACCACTGGCTGCACTGCTACTTTGGGAATCAGGATTCACCTCTAACCTTGTCCCTTTCACAGATGGATTCATGGCAGCTATAAGTCGTGGAAAGGAGCCCCCAGCCAGGAAGAATGCAAATAAAGAACTCAAGAGGAGTATGGCATATGGTAAGGAAATTGTGAGGCCATACATGGGTGCCTCCAGTCCATTCAGGAGTGTCTGAAAAGAAATTCCAAGACCTCATATATAATGAATCTATAGCAAGGTTGAGCAATAAGTCACATTGCATCAAATCAACATGCTTTGAGGGCTTGACTAGCAAAAATTCTTTATGAGTTCAATGGTACCAGTACGGAGTCTCAGATATTCATGGTATGTCAGAATCATTGAAAAGTTTCCAAAGTTCAATACAAATTTATGTTATGCAGCTGTCTGCATAAATCAAACTTACCATTTCCCCCCCCCCCCAAAAAAAAAACTCTATGTACATGGTTGCTATGAAATTAAGAAATGGGGAATTTGGCTTTGAGCACAAATTATTCAAAGCTCTTCTCAACTCAAACCTCTTCAAGAGGAGAAAACAAAGTCCTAAAACCAAAATGCTTTCAAATTTTCAAAATAATCTGTTGAAATGTAATGGAAAAGATAAGTGATTTTCCCAATCACTTTGAACAAATGAATCTCAACTTTCTAACTGTGTATTCTTTCTCAGAGCGAGTTGCCTGCATTAGAACATTCTAATGAAAAAGTCTATCTTAATAAGAACATAAAGTAGTTGTAAAGTTACTGAGTCCAGTACATTAATTAATTCAAAAGAACTTACAATAGATGAGGAGATGAGATGAGCCACAATTACAAGTGAAGGCTGCCAGTACTTCTTCATGAAGAGGCCATCAAAGAAGATGACTCCCCAAGCAGTATGAAGGAGTACAAAGCAAAGACTTAAAAATGTGGATACAAGGAAGAAGTAATTGGAGTCTCCAAACAGGCCAACAGTGCCTGGACCTGTCATGTCTCTGAGGACATTCACCAGGGCAAACAAGCCGCTCATAACTCCAAACCCAAATCCGCACACTGAAAAGGGAAACCTCAATTTTTTTTCAATTCCTGAAAATCAATTGCTGGCTTAAAAAAAAACCAAAAAAAACTGCATCTCACCATATGCAAGTATGTGACGTTGTTCACTACTGAGGAGGGGAGGTCCACTACCAATGTTTTCCAGACCTTTCTCTGCTTTTACAAGAAGTAAATAGAGCAAACCTCTTGATACCTCTTGGAAAACCACTGAGAAGATGAGACCAAAGGCAAGCTCTTCTCGTAAGGGAACCACAGCAAACCAAAGTAGCCCAGACAATAGCAAAGCCACCAACCAGAAGAAACAGCTGAAATGGAAAATAATAATAAAATTTAATTTAATTCTCATTGGCCTATGTCTACATTCATAATTAGTATAAAACATGCTCACCTCAAGATCATGATAATGATTCGGACAGAGTCATGAGCAACGGTGAAGACAAACATTGCAAATGGAGGCCCAAAGGCCAGGAAACTACATCCCCAGAACTCCCAAGTTGTCATTCTGGTACCTCAGATCACTGTTGAATCTTCATAGAGTGGACACTACATGAAGGAGCAATTGGAGGTGTGTTTACCACAGTTCCACAATCCCAGGACCACTTAACAAAATACTAAAAGAATTTAGAGCATATCTTTTGTAGCCCAATGATAACTGTATCGAAACAGCTGGCTTTCCTTTCAAAAGCCTTGGGAATAGCTAAGCATACAGAGAATAATAAATATAAGGATAACGGAATTTTGCTTGCATCTGCTATTCCAGCATCAAGGAGTCAATTGGGTCACCCAGGAAATGTATTGCTGTGACCCCAATAAACCAGTCTACTTTAGGTATTTGGAGAATATGACTAGTTCCAACTGGAATTGAAAACTGGCACATTGGATGTATATCTATTTACTTGCTTCCAGAATGATGTATTAATGGCTAAAACCATCTTCAGTTCAGACACTATAACACACATTGTTATGAAACTAAGTATTTGCAAGTCACCCTCAGAAAGTTCTTCCTAGCAATAAAGAACTGTTTCTAAGGGCAACTTAAAGAATTCTTAGTTTCGTAATTAAAGTGAAATCCCAAAACCTCTTTGAGCAGATCACTTGTCTAAATGACCTTTTTTGTAGAATGAAGGATGAAGGTTTCTTACTTCAAAAAGGACCACCTATGAAACAACCACCCCTTGAGAAGACCATTTTTATATGGAACCATGAGTGGTCAGCTCAAAAGGGTTTCCCTGTATATAAATTACACTCTCTGAACTTAGATGGTCTCATCCGATTACCAAAGACACCAGGCTAAGCTTTTTAAAAGGGCTGGTACTATAAAACCAAACTCAACACAGATGGTTTTTTTATTTACATGTTCATGCAATGGACTCACCTGGGGAAGTTCCATGACTAGCAACATGAGATCATACATTAACACAATATCATCCCTACAGAACCACATATACTAGTTTCCTACAGGGGTACACCCAATGTAAATTCCCCATGAGGCTATATCACAGCCTTAGCACAAAGAGCTGTTATGGCATCAGTAAGAAACAAAATAAATAGAATATATCACATGCATGGAGGGCCTGGGTATTTGAAGAGATTCAGGGATGACTTAAGTGCAGTACAATACAGATGACTGCAACAAAGAGAAGAGCAAAGGACAGCAGCAGCAGAAGTCACTTTGGAACAAGGCCTCTGGATTTGGGATAATTTTCTTTGGGGGAGTCGCCCCTAGAGGCACCAGGTTTTTTCGAAATGACTCTCAGGTGGTGTTGACTTCCCCTGTGAAAGGAGTAAGACAGGTAGCAGCATTAATCTCCCCCTCCTAATTTCCACATCACATTCATGAGAATACTGTACTTCTGAATTGTAACCTGGTTCTTTCTTTCAGAATGCCATGAATAGCTGATCTTGATAAGAGACGTGAAGCTGAGGCATCAATATCCAAGTCCCCTTCTCCTTTCAAGGCTGCATCCAAGGCAGCCTGGACGTAAGGTGACACACGTGGGCTCACATAATCCCGTGTTGTTCTACCTATAACCTCCAGAGGTAACATAACTATGTTTTCTCCCTAAAAGGACAAAATATGAAGAAAGTCCTCATTCAGAAATCATGGGTTGATGATGTGACTTAGCTATTCTTAAAGATTCCTCTTCTCACCCTGTATCGTATTGCAGATCCATTTCTGGTAATTTGCATACGTGCATATTCAGATATAGGCCTTCGAGCTCCTACAGCAGAGATAGGACGCTTGCTCAAGATTCGTACTTCTGACTTTTGCTTAGGTGGAAGTAGACTCCATTTATCAGCCTCTTCATCATAAAAGCATCGAGACTGGAGTTTCTCCCTCTCCTCAGAAGGGATGAAATTCTCCAGTATTAGGTACTTTTTTTTCAGGTCCCTTGTAATGAGGAAAAAAAAAAAAAAAAAAGAGATCATGAGACAATCCAATATAATGCCAAAACTTTATGACTTATTGAGATACCAACTTGGTGAGATTATTCTGCATCAGGGTGAGTTCGGCTCTCTCTTTCACAAACTCCTCACGTGTGTCTGCTAATTCTTGTTTATGAGAAATCAGCTTTGCTGCAAGCTTTTTCAACTGTTTTGTCTTCACTTCCACCTCCTGTTTCAGTGATGTGAATGTTTCTTTCAACTGAAGCGCAGTTTCTTCTTTGGACTCCAATTGCTGTCTCATTTCTCGCTCTCTCTTCTAAGCATGCAAAAAAAAAAAACATCTGTCATTATCATCCCTTCTGAACATTAAAATGCAATGAGAATAGCATAATTAAATGCAGAACTCTGAATTGGAAAGGGGATTTGGCTGACCTTTTGTTCAGCAATTTCTAGTTTCCTTTGTTCAAGAGCCTTTTGTTGCTCATTAGTGTGATCAACTATGTTTGTCCCCCCAGATAGGAGCTTGCTCTGAAGGGCTTCAATTTTCTTGGCCAGCTTCTCCTGAGCCCTCCTTTCTTCCTGTAGCTGTTGTGCTTTTCTCTGGACTTCATTCAGCAATCGCTCCTTCTCCTTAACCATTAATTGTTTTATCATAAGCACCAATCCTTTTTTAAATCCTTCATGGAGACATATAGAAACATTTTTGTTCACCTCAGCAATTATGTTCTTGTCATTTAAGATGGCACTTCTTTCCCTGTCCAGTTCTTCTTGTTGCTCCTTCCAATTCAGGGACACCTGCTCCTCATCCGCTTCCCCTTCCTCAGAACATTCTTCATCATTCTCATTCTCATCCCGAGGGCCTTTCTCTGTTGTCTTTTTCTTCTTATGTTTCTTGCCACCCCGATTTGCCAATGCTGTCTGCAATTGAAAAAGATTTCACTGCACTAATGATCAAAGAGGAAAACCCATATATGATCCTGATACAAAAAAAATATAATTTCCACATATTAGATGCTAATTTAATTCAGAATTATGCAGTTGCAATAAAGGGTGAATGGAACTGTCAATCAGAGGCATATAAAAGATAGGACAAGGAAACTTATTCTATGGGACAATAATATACACCTATAGATAAGAAAATTACAAATTTGGAATTTCAAAAATTCAATTTCATATCATGTGGTGTGATAATGTCTTGTCCCACCTTGAGCCTTGATATTTCCTCTTGAAATTCCCTAAGTAGTGCATCTTTTGGATCTTCATTGATCCTAGGCTTATTCTTGATGCTCTTTGCACGGTTTGCATACCTCAAGGTACCAAGTGTTTCATCATAATTATATGCAGCAGGGCCAATGTTTGCTACCATCACTGTTTTTGCATTTCCTCCTAGAGAGTCTACAAGAAAAAGGAACCACTCAGTTTCATAATCAAGATGCAATCATCATATCATGTTCAAAGAAGCATTTGAGCTGAGCTTCACCTTGTAGCAACCTAGTGAGTTTGGAATCACGATAGGGTACATGTGTGCCCTTGCCTGTTAAGGCTGAAATCACATTCCCCAAGGCAGCAAGACTCAAGTTGATCTTGGTTGCTTCCTTAAATCTCTCACCCTAAATTGCAAAAAGATAGAAACTTTATTTAATCTGTGCAAGATTTAGTGGAATTCCCAATGAAGATTAAAACTACAGGGTAATGCCTCTCAAGCTGATGTACTTTTGGGGCAAATGAACAAGGAAATAGCTACTCACAACAGCTCCTGTTTTAGCTTGGCGTTCAGAGCCAGCCAAGTCTACAAGGTTGAGCTTTCCAACCCTAATATGATTTTCGTTGTCACAGCCCAGCTCACTACATTCCACAGTGATGAGAAAGATGACATGCGATCGAGTGCTGTGCTCATTCATGTTAGTTGCCCTATAGGAAGAGACATGCATTGAGACTCCAAACAAAGCCAGAGCAATCCATTGCTAATAACGGATACCAGAACAGGAATTAAAGATAAACTGTATTAAATTATCATATGACACTTCCCAAAGAGACACCACAAATGACTCAGGCAAGTTTTGTTTTCCTATTACTTCATGATATAGGAAAGATAGCCCTCTCGAGAGATTCTTTTGATTGTGTGAAAGGAAGAGGATAAGCTACAGCAGGATTAGTGATACAAAACATTAAGAAGCAAATTATCAGGATATGGTGATACTTATTAGCTTCAAGAACTCTTCCTTATATAAATCCAGCATACCCAACAGCTCTGTTCTTGTTCCCAACAGTCATGACATGTTCAATTTCCTTCACACTCTTGCAGACAAAGGATGACAGATCCTTGACATAAACTCCAGTATCAGGAGATTCCTTCAAGTCCAATCGTTTTGCTTGATCCTTTTGCAGAAGATCCCTGTGAGAATCAGAAGTGTTCAACTTGACAGTCACAGGCTGCACTAGGTAAGGATTTGAGGCAAAGGGGGAACATACCTGACTTCTTCCATGTAGATCTCTAAGTATGATGCTCTGACAAGGTATTGTTGATCAGTGGAAAATGATATGTGGTCAAAGATTTGTTCAAATGTTCTTGGAATAACTCCCTTTTCATCAACATGACTTGGAATACCTATAAAAAGAAAAGTATCAATAGTGCAGGTCTACTTAAAACAATGACATTTTAACCTATTTGGGGTCCACACCCAAGTTATCTCATGTTGGTATAGTGCCACAGTATGGAAAAAATTCCAAGTGACAGTGTCAGCATATTCAAAATACTCTGACCCCAAAAGGTTAAAGAGACTTAAAAGAGACCTAAGTTCCTGTTAACACCAAAAAACACAAAAATGTATGTCAACCTGAAATCACTCATGCAAGCAAAACTTCTCTTTGAGTACTATAGTAAGAGTCTAATATCTTTCTTTTCTCACTAATGCTGGTAAATCCTCTTTACCATTAAACTGAAACCACTGAGTATTAAAAAAAGCTCAACGTGGTTACCCACATGAAAATTCCATGTATGACAGGGTATATGATTCTGTATGGTCATGTATGATCATACATTTGCCATATACCACCATATATGTATTCATATACTAACAATTGTATGGTGCATAATATATTTTACCTGCATTGCAATATTATGTGTGATGGGCAAATGGCATCATGCCTGATATGTGGTGAATATGCATAGACAAGTCTTATGGTTGTAAGTAAAACATAGCATGAGGTCAGTGGTGTATTTTGGCTGAAGAGTCAGGGGGGACAGGTCAGCAGAGCGGAGGCACCAAGCCCTGTCCCAGGGATGCCAGGGGAGCCTGCCCCCTCCCTAGAAAATACGCCACTGCATGAGGTTGTTACACATGAGGGAAATTGACCTTCAGATGCCTCTGCAACTTATTTTTAATGCACCTATTGTATTTTACATGAAATATTAAGTATGCATAACCCATAATTTACCAAAAGTTTGATTTCAACCCCCCCAGCTGAAAATCCTTGTTGGAAACAGCTATAATTTTTAGCTGAACCTCTGTGGGAAATTCTGACCCATTCCAACTGGGTAGCAGCTGGAAAGTAAAGTCAGATCCAGATTGTTCCCAATACACTGGTAGAATGAGAATGTTTTTTTTGGTTATTCTTGCTGGAGGTCCATCTACAAAAGCAGCTGAATTTCAACTGTAAATTCAGCTGCATTTCGACTGGAGGGTCCTCTGCATAAAATTCTAATGGTAAATTTCCACCTGTAAAACAACCTGTATATACCATTTTTTAGCTCTTTGCTTGCTGGAAATGGTCAGAATATACAGCTTCTGTCCACCTGAAAAATTCCAGTCAGGATTTCAAACTGGGCCCTACCCTCTCTAGGTAGCATAAGCATATTGCAGATGAAAAAAGTGTGGGAGGAGGGGGGCCATGGGAACTCTGGGACATTGTTATCATGCATCTTTTCCTTTGTATTAATGTTTTTTTTTTTTGTAAAGTGGGGGCACATGCTATGCCATGCCATGCCTTTATTGAACAATTCCTTCATCTGATAATTTCAGAAAGAAATACAGTTTCTGTTCCCATCTATCTTCCGAGTTGTCAGTCAAAATGAAGAAGACACTCCTACATGAGAAAGCCAAGTTTTGTCTTGAAATAGCATTACTGATGAAAATACTTGTGAAGGTTCAAGTCTACAATATTGAAACTTTCACCTTCATTAGCAAGGGTGCATATGTTGAACACCATGAAACATGCATTCTTGGAGTAATTGTGGTCTATGAACAATTGAAAATGAGTTGATTGCAAGTTAAGTATGGTGACTTGCATATGAATGATCATACAGTATTTGATGGATTATGGACCCTTTTTGGATACAGACGTGTATATGTTTCGGGTAATCTCACCATACATAGGTATGACATGGCATATATGGACAGTATATGGTGCAGGATTATGGACCCTTTTTGGATACAGACGTGTATATGTTTAGGGTAATCTCACCATACATAGATATAACATGGCATTTATGGACAGTATATGGTGCATATGTATGAGCCAATATATGAAAATGTATAGGGTCATATATTTTCATTCTTATATGATTTTATGTGACTTGTGTCAAACCCCATACATGTTTCACATATGTTCATATATGTATTGCACTATATGTCATAAATGCCCCTTATATGTTGGACTGGCTAAATATATGGCCATTTCATATATGGTCTTATATGAAATTTTCACGTGGGTAAACACAATTTCTTATACACTTAAAATATTTTCAGGGTTAAGGAAGACTCGGCTTGATTTCCCAAATGCAAAGGGGTACACCTAGAGGAGTAAAGGAAAAATAAATATATTTGCTGTCAGAAAATGATCATATCATGTATCAAGATGGCCCAATATCCTCAGAGGACTCAGAGATTAAAAAAAAATTTGCAGGCACTTAATCATTTTTATAGCATATGAGGATTTCACATTGATTCCCAATATCAGTATGAAAAAGAATATGCACAAATTTAGACACAGCCCTTATCCTAGACAGTTTTTGCTGCAAAGCTCAATTAAATCAAAATAGCTCATGGCCATGCATAAGGAAGAATCCTCGTGCAGCAAAAAAAAAAAACTTTCATCTTTCAAACATCTTTCTAAATGGTCTAGTTCGCAAAATGCTACATGCTATATTTTTTCATACCAACAGTCCACTTCAGGTCCAATTTCTCACCTAATACATACAAGGTTACATAAAATAGGTCAGAAACAAACTTTTGACCTTAATTTACAGTGTAAAAAACCATGTTTTTTGCTTGCATCAGACATTTTTTCACTTGACTCAGACACTTAAGCACTAGATGTTCCTAATGCACAAGAGTCAGTCAAGTGAAAAACACTGTACATATGTCCTTGCAACATATGAAACATTCCAGGGTTGTCAAATTTAACTTAAGATATTGGTCCATACCCTCAGTATGATTTTCTTCATGCAGCATGAAATTAATTTTACATGACCATTTAGGACATATTAACAATTCGCACCAAATATCCATCTTCTTTAAAACAAAATCTATGCATCAAAGTACTAATACAAGGCAACTATGAGGATCATCCAAAAAGTTCAAGAACAAATATGAATTTTTTCTCTCTATGTGATCCAGCAGAAACAGTCTTATCAAAGTACTCATTGATGTCGCACAGTGTTAATGTAGGAATGATGATGTAATTGCACCTTCCTACTTCAGAGCTATTTCATATTTAAGTAGACCTATACTTTACCATTATGGAAGATGATCAGATCCAGCAAGGTGTGATTTGATTTCTGCAGAAACTGAAATATCACAGGCCCAGATTAGTTGTAAGCTGTAAGAAGTTTATGGGGACAGAGCTTTAGGCAAAAGTGTCATAAATAAGAGGGTGCATCACTTTGAAGCAGGATGGGATACAGTGGATGATTTGCTAAGGTTAAGTCAGCCGATAGAGGCAACCATAGACACTCAAATTGAGCATGTACATGCTACTATAGAGTTGGACTGGCACCTCACAGTGAAGTGACTAGCAGAGCAGTTGCGCATGTCAAGTAGCAGCATACATCACATTTTGGCTGAACATCTGGACATGTCATGGTTAGTTGCCTTTTGGGTACCCAAATTGCTCAGCACTGAAATGAAGCAGGCCCATATGACAATTTGTCACCAGCTGCTAGAAAAGTATGGCACCGTGCTAGCCAAGTTCATGCATAGAGTAGTGACTAGCAATGAACCATGGTTTCATTATTACCAGTCAGAGTCAAAGGAATAGATTAGTCAGTGGATGACAAAAGGTGATGTGTCAAGGTTAAAACAGTGCCCTCTGCTGGAAAGAGAATGGCCACTGTCTTCTGGGACTATGAGGGAATTTTGCTCATTGATTAGCTGCAGCACAAGCAAACAATCAACAGTGACACATGCATCCCAATTTTGATCAAGTTGAAGCAGGCAGTCAAAGACAAGCATTATGGAAAGTGGCCATGGCAAGTTTTACTCCAACAAAGACAATGCACAGCTTCACACCAGCTAGGCAACATTGGCTGTGACCAAGAAGCTGGGTTCAAGCGATCCCAGCAAACTGGTTTGCTGCAGGACTTGAAAAGCTGATGGAACAGAGGCAGATATGCATGCAGCTACAAAGGGAGTATATCAAGAAAGTTCACTAGGAATAATGCTCCATTTGGCGTTTTGACTTGATGTAGAATAATTTAATCTAGAACTTTTTGGATGACCCACATATGACTGCTTTTACAATCATACTGCGAAAGCGAGATGAACACCATGAAAAATCCTGGAATTTAAAATCCTAAAATGTTAGATATCTTCATCAAGTGCAAAGGGTTTTTTTTTTTTGACACATTCACGCCCAGCGACCCCAGAACACTATGGGTTTAAAAACATAATATTACGGTTCCCTGCGCCAATGGGTTAAGTGGGCCTTACTTGAGAACTTTGACTAGGAATTGATTGCCTGATCACAACCTCTCGAAGTAATCACAAACCTAAGTCACAACCTTACCTTGCATTGTGTAGGTTTTGCCAGTTCCTGTCTGTCCATAGGCAAAAATAGTCCCATTGAACCCTTGAAGAACACTCTGTACCAATGGGCGGAAGCTCTCATCATACAAATCTTGCTGTTTTGAGCTGGAAAATCAAACAAGTTACACATCACTCCTATAGTACCAGTGTTCAAAGCAGAGAAAGACTAAACCATTATTTGCATGTCTGAAAACTTTTCCAGATAAAACTGGGCAAGAAGGAATTTGGGTATGGAGGGACTATAGGGCCAAACATTCCTAAAGGACCCACGTGGAAATTCCATGTATGACAGTGCATGGCTCTATAAGGTCACATATGATCATATAGTTGCCATACAATCTCTTTAGCCTTCCCATATACCACCACATTCATATATTTTTCTATATTACAATATCAAAAATAAGAGGTTAATGACATCATGTCTGAATTAAGTCATAGGTAAACTATAAGCTATGTAAAACCTTCAGGTAGTTTCCCAAAAGGTCCATGACAAAGGTCCTTTAAATTTTTCTAATATTGAAATAATTTAACACAATAAAATAGAGAACTTATACTTCAATTTAAAAAAGGAGCATGTCTATATAATTTAGTGTTTTGAAGCTATGTATTTTTTGGTAGACCTCAAAATAACCTCAGTCACCAACCCTCTGGAGCAAAAGTGTCAATGAATAACTCACCTCTGGTTATTGATCACCCAGTGTGCTCATGTAGCAGTGTTATTTCAATGTTGTTTTGTATAGTATATATACAGACAAAGATCAAATGACACTGATGTATGTACACCAGTGGCACCTCATAATTTTGAATGCTAATTAATTTACTAATTCATGAATAAAGTTTTTGGTCTATTCACACCCAATGGGCCAAAATAAACTAAAGTGAAACTTGTATTTTTGTTTCAAAGAAGTATTGAGTACTGCAATGACCAAAATGACTCAGTGGTCAGTCCAAGAGTGTGTATAGATAAGTGATCCCTATTTCTGGAGTTATGGAGCTGATTGGAGTAATGGACATCTCTTGAAGTGGTAAAAAAATGGATTTTGTGGCCAGTTTGCAAAAGATGCTCCAAGAAATAAAATCATCCTAGCAAGGGTTAAAAAGTTTCATAAAACTGGGTCAGTAAATTAAAGCAGAATCAAGGAAAGTCAAGCCAAAAGTGGACTGTATGAATGAGAACACAGGAAGAGTTTTGAATGAGGTGCTACAGTCTCCCCAAAAAAGCAAATGTTGAATATCCCAAAGAACTTAATTTAATACCTCTTGACGAAGTGGAAAATGCATTTTTAGAGAGATTGGAGCATTTTTATACCAAATTCAAGTCTTCCAAGCTCTTTCACCAAGAGATGAACAAACAAGAGTAATGTGCTAGTGTGCTAGCATAACATTATGATGATGATTATCTGATGAACTGGTGCAGGTCTGATGAATGCCACATTCTGTTGAGTGGCCCTGGGAACAAGCAGAACCAATTTTTCCTAGGATGGGAGAGGCCAGAGGTTTATGCTCACATGCCACTGTTCTCCCAGAAAGTGACAGTCTCCAGGAGTCACTCCAAACCAGCACCATAATTCAAGAAATAGTGCCTAAATATCTATACAAGCTCTTGAACTGACCACTGAGGCATTTCAGTCACTACAGTACTCAATACTTAACTGGAAAAAAAAAGTAATTTCAGTTTAGTTTTATTTTTATTTTCAGCTCACCCTGTCAATGAAAAATTCATTTAATCAATGTTGTTGCAATTAACACATGGAATAATTAAAAATCTTTTCTTTTACCTGTTGCACTTTCATTTAAATTTGTGCCATCTTTGGCATCATCTGTACTGATGCTCTAAACATCCAGAATATAGGACCATTGCATTGCCATTGACACATGTTAAAAGCAAAAGCATTGCTTCAGTAGCAGACAGTATATTTAACTTTTTCCACTCGAATGGGCGAGTATACTCGCCCATTGGTACTTTGACTCTTGCACTCATTTGGTGCAGTATAGTATACCACAGATTAAAAGTCTCTTCATTCACTCGGGTGGGTCACCTTGCTGCACCGGAAAAAATCACGTATTTTCATTTTTTCGTTTTATGTGGTAAAAAATACAAGCTACCGGAGAAAACACATGAAAAAAAATTCGAGTGGAAAAGGTTAATGATGAAAGTGAGCTGGAATGATGTTCCCCTACTTAAAGGAATTTTAAAAAGTTGCTGCTCAAGTGGGATCCTGCAAGCAATGACTAAAATGGGTGGACAGAGTGCAATTTATCACCCCCCTCATTAATACCATTCCCTTGGAGTAATTGACTATGGTCAATGAACTCTTACAGATGGGTTAACTACATGAAAAATATGTTAAATATGGTGAATGTCATATGAATGACTACAGAATTTGATGGATTATGGACCCTTTTAGAATATGGGTATGTTTTAGGTATTTTCACCACACATAGACATGTTTGATTTGTATATGAAGAGGGTATGACATGGCATGAATGATACAATTGTATAAGCCAAGATATGAAAATGTATGGGGTCATATATTTTCATTTTTATATGATTGTATATGACTCGTGTCAAACCCATATAAATGCCATATATGAAACATCAATATTGCACAATATATTCTGGACTGGCTAAATATACTACTATTTCATATACGGTTTTATGACATTTTCATGCAGGGAAGTTGACATAGCCATGGTTATGTTTATCTATGAATTCCTTAAAAATGTCATAACCCTTTCATTCATGAATCCTGTATGAATTCAATACATCTGCCAAAGTCAAGTTCAGTCAACTCAATCTGACAGAGGCTAGGGAATGATCACTGCAGCAATGGTGTGATATTACAAGAGAAAGACTAAGAAGAGAAGGAAACACTGAGACAGATTTAGAGATTAACATAGTTGGTAAAAAAAAAAAAAATTTTTTTCACTTACTTGCTATATCTATACAAAATGAGGTAAGCTCATGCATTTTCAAGGATATGTAGAACTACTCTTTTCTGACTGAAAGAATTTATTTCAAGCAAATATGACTGATTATTTTTAAACTACATTTTTTTTTAGCATGAAGTTAAAATTTTTTTTTGTTGCAAATATCTACATTCACATGCTAAGATAAAATCCTAAACTGGATTCTTTCCTGAATAGTTTTTTGAAGCACAGATAGCAAAATAGTGAAGTTAGATTAGAAATACTCATTCATTTAAAGCAATGCTGAATGTGTCCACTTCAACAACTAATGTCGGCCCAGCCCACCACTGCTCAACCTCTCAGACACTGCTTGAATGATGTTTATTGTACGTGAGAGATAAAAGTTTTGTGTCCACACCATTGGTTAAAATGCCTCATTGAAACACTTTGAATGCAAATATTATTAAGAAGAGAACAATGAGTCAAAGTCCTTTGGAACTCTCCAAAAATTTCATGTCCAATAGCAACTGAAATTGCCAAGCCCAATTAGTTGTAACTATTTCTTTTTAAATTTTGCAGCACTTAAATAACTGATGCAAAGCATCCAGGACTCCAACTGAAATATTTTAATGGATGACCCAAATAGCCTCAACCATGGGGTTATTATCTGGGTCACAGAAATGTCTCTACTGGTGTCAATTTTGACTACATGAAACAAATTGCAGCACCCAATCTAAAAACCAACCTCAACACAAGATATCAAATACAAAGAATGGATCAAGATCAAGAACTGGAGTGGGCTTCATATGATGCTGTGCACTTGGACAGGTAAAGTCTCTTGAGATGATACACCAGAAAAGCAATTGTCTCCTGTCAAATCCTTGCTACATGTCATACATGTTTTGAAAAAAGTAGCAAGCCTACCAGCAACTTAAACAATTTTGGCCTCACTATCAGCTCAAACACAGGCACATGCACAGGCATCTGCTCAAAAAAGGAGAGAAACAAAAATGCCCACATTTGAAATAGCTGAAACTCACTCCACTAGATATCACTGAACAAAAGGACTCAGAATTCTAAATGGTGTACCTGCCCAACAAATCCCCTCCCAGCTCACAATCCACATGGTATGTCCCAGGAAAGCACTCAACAAAGCTTTGGAAAACACACCCAAGCTTTCAGCAAACAGAACAGGAATAATGTGGGATGCCCAGAAAGACATGGTACAGAGCAAGCAAAAGACAAAAACATCAGCTACATGCCATTGCTTAAATCTGTAGACACCCAATGTTTGCTCAAGTGAAAAATGCAAAATTTCCCAGAACTAATGGATGGATCCAGTAAGTGTTACGTAAAGAAAGATATGAGTGGTTGACTGCTAAGACTGGACTAATGGTACCTAGCCTACAGCTACACCTAGATAATACAGAAACAGCACCATACACTGCTACCTAGGGCACATCTACTGCAGATGTAGTAGGTCAAAACAAACAGTGTGAATTATAGGGCTGACGTCAAATTAGCCTATTTACCAACACTCACTTGCAATCATAAACTGCATCAAAAGTAAATTGACGTAGAGGCTCTTCATGGCTGTTAGGGTGTGGATTCTTCAGCTCAACTGCTCCTCTTTCAGGAAAGACATTCACAATGCTGAAATAAAGAGGGATGAATCAACATCAGAAAATTTAGGTGTTGGGTTTCGTGAAAAAGTAGGGGTGACTGGGAGCATGGCAAATGAAGCTATTCTGCTTATCCCTCTATTTCCACTGGCAATAGAAGCCCATTTTAGCATCACCTTTTATAAGAATATTTAGAGGGAAAGCAGAAACAGGCCATGGTATTTTCAACATCAGCATAGGCTAAATACATGCCACCTCTCTTATCCCCAGCAATCACAAGAATTACAAGGTATTGTGCATGACAAGCACATGGGGCAATGCAATCTTCAATATTCTGCCTTACTCTTGAGTTGTAGCTGCTTGCTAATAATCAGAACTTTGCCAAGAATCTGCTAATAATTTCCAGCAAGAGCATTGAATTCACATCCTCTCATGACTTCATTGTTTTTTCAAAATCTTAGTTCTCACAGTTCTAGAAGCCAAAAGGTGAAGATGAGTTATTTACTAAAAAGACATCATGACCATGAACAGCAAAGCAATAATTGCCCTATTAGAGCAATAGCACTCCGATATTTGAGGATTTATGGTTCAGTTATGTATGAAATGGTATTAGCCACTTCAAATTCTTTCCAAAAGGTCTAAAAGGTTTTAGAAAATAGGTTTAGCCAATATTAACAGTACATATATATATATATATATAGGTTAGAGCCATTCCGAGCCATGCTCTCGCTCCTTTTCCTTCATAGGCTCGAGTCTACCATGCATTTCAGTCGCGCGAGGCTGATCGAGCCAATCGATCGTTAACTGTGGCACTGACAGACGGACTTAAGCCGTGATTGCCTCCGCCTCCGAGTCATTAGGTACAGTCTAACTGTTTGTTTAATTCCATAGGCCATAGCACCTGGCAGTAGAAACTTTCTGGGTAGGGTTTGTTTAGACAGACTTGCGGCCTTAACCCCCTGATGACGCAGGCTGCCTGACAAATTTCTAGGATGAGATCCTTTGCTGTCCATTCATTTTTTAACTTCCTTTAGCTTCGCCCCATATCTCGTCCGACAAAACGGTATCTAATAAACGATATACAGGAGAAGAAGACCCGATCCTCGGCCAGTATCGGACGGACAACGGAACCCACCGATAACGATCCCTTCCGCAGTGACAAAATGAACTTAAGTTCACCTAGTTTACATTTATAGTTGCTCATCTATATAACCTATTGTTATGCTCATTCATATTAGTGATCTATCAGGTACCACTCCAAAACCAACATTGCATCATTTGCGGATGAGACTGATGGACATGTATGGTTGAAAATTTTTTTTAAAAACTGCATCAGTAAACTGCAAACTTCTGAATCCAGAAAATTTATGGGAATACACATATATCCTATATTTGAATTCCACACTCCTTCTCGTGCGCTCATGTGCAATATTTGGCAATGTACTTTTACTATAGTTATCATATTTATCAAGCTTTATGAAATTACTATGGTCACACCTTCAGCACTCCATTATCTAGGATAGTGATTAATTCATTATTTCATTTTCAAAGTGGAAAAAACTTATTTAAAGTATGTCCCTGTAGAAATATGTGCCATGAGGGGAAGAACTGGATTTTTTGCTGAAATAATTACTGCAATAATTCCTTGTGTGCCTAACTTCAAATCTCTTTATGTGCTCAATTCCAAAAAAATATACCTTTAGGGGATGTATCTGACATGTGACATTTTTCCTGAACTTAGCATCCCAATAAGTACCTATGTACCAAGTGTCAGGTTTCATGACACGAAGAACATGGTTTGAATTAGCGTAGTCAGTCATGATCATCTATTTATATTAGATACCAAGTATTCAGTGTCATTTCATATAAGACAGCAAATCTTTACCTAAGTCACATTTGCAGCATCTATCCAAAAAATCCCCAGAATTGAAGAAAGGGCTCTACAGATGATATGTCGGATGATATGGAGCAAGCTCACTCCATGGAACTACCATTCTGGGTCTAATGGATTCTGACATAAATATTTAGTTCGATACTCTGTTTATTTTCATGAAGAGATGTGATAGTAATCAGGCAAAGTATTTTGAAGAGATTCTTCTGGAATGAAGGGATGAAACAAAGATTTAAACATTTGGCCATCAGAGTTCTGGTAGTTACAGAGTTGACTTTAGGACACTAATGAAATTTTGTTTTCTCCTCTCCTGGGAGAACAGTCTGTCTGTCTATGAAGTGCACCATGATGGTTTATTGTTAATAAGTGAGAAGCACATAGACCTCAAGAGACAATAATACTGATACCTCAAAGAATGTGTCAGTCAACAACTGTATTAATTCAGCTATTCAACAAGCTCCCAGATAGCCTCATCAAAAATAGCCATTATTCAAGGAAATGCTAAATCACGTTCTAGCTGAAAATTCAACATATGATCCTATATAACTCACTGACCTGCAATACATATGTTGTCCAATAATTTTTCCTCCATAGCAGAAGAAAACAGCTCAAGTAAGAACCTTTCCATCTACATTACATCTCATCTTTCTTGCCCTCTATATTACTGCTTGATGCTAGGTTTGCATGTAAATTAAGATGTCTGTATTAATGTTTATTGGAGGTTCACTAGACACATTCCTGTTCACAGCCGACCCCTTCTATTCTTTCCATGAATTTGTATCACTACAATGCCCTTAAAACAATTCAGTGACATAACTTATTTACATAGAATACGTTCATGTATATAATAGGAAACAAACTTTCATTCCAGGTATATAAATTTCCTCTCAAATTCAAGTCCTGTGTAATGCTGTCATTGTTAAATTGATGACTATTAAAAATGGTGAAACATTGGCCCACGCTTATTACAGGGCTTTGTGAGCCAAATAGAAATAAACCTGCAATCCTTAGCAATATGAAATGGCTGTGCGAATGGCGTGCCTTGAATTGCATGAAATTGAACGTGTAGGCCTAAACTACCCACCTTTCATGGCCATTTTCCACTTCTTTCTCATTGAGGGGTCGACAACGGACGATGACTGTCACCGCTTCTGACTTGGAACTGGATGTCTTAATGTTGACGTTGGACTCCAACGTCATGGTGAGCAAGATTCCTATCACACGCTGCAACAGGCAAGGCCTATGACTCCGCGGGGCGCCTAAAAAATATCCAAGTAACGATAGGCTTCTTCAAGGGGCCTCAGCACGATGGCACTCGGCGTACCTTCTCTATTCCCACTGGGCCCATCACACTGCAGTTGTAAGGGGAATTTGTCCCATCGATGAGTTCACGCAGGTTGTGTGAAAATCAGCAACTGCAGGACAAGTGGGAGCGGGGACGTGAGCCTTTCCATTATTGCCGGCGATATGGTAAAGTATTTCAGGGGAAAAAAAAAACTGATGACTAGGCACGATACGACGGTTTCAACCTGACCCTAACTAGAATTCTCACTGCTAGTTCTCAATACATGACAAACTTTTGCAAAGGCCGTAATCTTTTGTCGATGGCTTCCTTTAAAATGGAAAATGAGGAATGATTTTTCTGATACGGATTTGCGTGCATGTGGGAAATTTATTTAAAGATTGCCGTCTAAGTATCGTAAGTTCTCAATACTCAACACAGGCATCGGAAATTGAATTGAGTTTAAGGATTTACGTGGTCCATACCACAGGCTTTTCCACTCGAGTCCAATATCCCATCAAAAGTTTCTAACACCCATTTATGGCACATTCAATACATAAGTGTTGGAGTCGTTTGAAAGGTTTCGAACTCAACAGAAAAAACCAGCAGTATCGATTATATGATATGATACTAGAGTATAATTCAGCTCTATGTAATCCTTGCAAAGACCACGCGTCAAATTCAGCAACTGGTAATCATACTGAAGCATTCTAGCATGGCGCTGTCCTAAGCTACATGTGTGGCCCAACCGGTAAGAGCCTTTCCTAGGCTAAGTAAAAATGATAGGCTTTAACCTAAACCACTCATTCATATTTGGTGAAAAGCAAGCTATTATTTGTTCACTTTGTATTCAGGGGTAGATCCATCATGATCTTTCATGTTCTGATCATAGATGTTAAGACACCAGCCCAATGAACATCTCTCTCCTGCATTTTAGGTTTTTGACATGGAATTCGGTGGAAGTGGAGGCCTGTTGCATCAAATCATCGAGAGGTATAAATGGGTCCAGACATTAGCTGGTGAGTTCTTGAGTTCACTATATTTGTTTATCTGCCAAGCAAAGCCCCAAAATTTGTGCCTGATAGGGAGTAGAGTCTCCTCACTGGCGTAGCATATGTTCTGCTTTTTGGTGGTGAGATCTGGTAGGCCTATCCAAATGGTAATAATGAAGACCAGGAGTAGGATGAAGTCACTCATTTTCCCACACTTTTTTTTATTAATATATAAACAGGGTGGGTCAAAAGTCCTGTCCCATAAAAAAACACATAACTTCACCAAAATGCAAAATATATTCAATCTTTCTAATCATAAGTAACAACAACATCCTACCAAACACATCACATCGATAGATCTCAATATGACCACCCTTGGCCTGAATGACAAGCTTCAGACGATTCATAAAGTCATAGACTGATTTCCGCAAGGTGTCTTGAGGAATTCGCTTCCACTCCCGCCGCAGGGCTCGCTTCAATGAATCCAAACTACGGTGACGAGTCACATTGACTGTACTCTCCAAATTGCCCCAGATGCTGAAGTCTAAGGGATTCACATTGGGGAACATGGTAGCCATTCCGCAGGACTGATGAATCCCGGGATGTTGTTCTGCAGCCACTGCTGAGTTGTCTTCGCCTTGTGAGCCAGTACTGAGCCCTGCTGGAAGACCCAGTCGTTTCCATTAAAATGCTTCCTTGCCCACGGTCCCAAACACTTCTCAAGGATGTCTCGCTGGTAGATCTCGACATTGATCTTAACTCCCTGATCCACAAAAACCAGTGGAGTTTGCCCATCTGAGGTTAGCGCCACCCAAGCCATTACAGATTGGGCTCCTTGACATCTCGTAACCAGAAACTGGTTCCGATTGGTAGAGGAATTTTTTCTGCACCAGACACAGTCGTTCTGTTTGTTCACAACCTGCACCACTGTGAACAATTTCTCATCAGAAAAGACGATCCTTTGATGCCTGCCGTTCGTGAAACGAGTCATCAGTGTTTTTGCTCTTTCCAGTCATACGGCCTTCTGAGCAGGTGTGAGCTGCTGTACTCACTGGATCTTGTATGGGTGGGTTTTGAGCTTCTTTGTGAGTATTCAATGGACACTTGGGGCCGATATTCCAAAGTCTTTGGCCACTTTTCTTATGCTCCTCTGTGGATTTTGCAATCCTGTCTTGTGCCTTTTAATTTTTCGGTATATAAATTTCCTATTCACCTTGAGTGACTTCAGGGCTGTCAAAGTTTGATATATCTGTTTCCCAGTGTGATGAAATCCAATGACAGCAGCTCATTTCGCTTCCATCTGAAATAATAGAAACAAGGGGCAAGACAAGTACATGAACACAAAATATAATGAAGAGAAGGACTTGATACAATAATAAGAAAAAGCTCATTCTCCTTTGATGTGTGAAACGCTTGCAATGTGATGAAAAAAGAGTGGGATGGGACTTTTGACCCACCCTGCATATATTTTTTGGGGGGGGGGGGGGGACTTTGGAGTAATGAAGCTGCTCTTCTGGCCCTGCATGTTCCAGCTTATGGGTCCTGGTTGTAAGAATAGAAGATTTGGAGGATGCTTGACACATGATGTTATGGTATTATGTTGAAGGAAATTGATAAAAATAATGAGTTTTTAAGTTAGATCTCACTGTTTATGGTGCAAAAAAAGGTTGATTGTTCTTCCATTTTAAAGAAACTGGAGGAGTCTTCTTTTGATTATATCTCAACAATACTACCATTCATATAGAAACTGATTTATGGCTAGGAATGGTTTAATTGCCTATATGGAAAAATTGTATGTTTTTATGAGAATTGGGCATATATGGGATGTATATGATCTATCATATCTGATATTATATGAACATGTATAGGGGAAAATATCTGATCATATCTTCTTATTGAAATGATGAGTATATGATCATGTATGACAAGATCACATAAGAATTTTATAAAATGCATGTATGAAAAAGATATGGAGGAGCAGATATGATTCCTGTATGACTTAGTATGTCTGTCTTGCACATAGTAGGGCATATATGTCACACCTGATAAGAGATATGACAAAATTAGGTATGAAACATACAGGAAATCATATTACTCTCCCAAGCGTAAAAAAAATAACTTCAGGAACTAACGAGAATTAGCACTTCATCTGTCACTTCTGTAAATATACAAAAACCATTCACTTCCAAAACAGCACAAGTACATCCCAAAGATAAGTACTAGGGACTTCTCAGTGATATCAAAATATGTGTTTGCCATTCTTTCTTAAGCAGACCAATTTCTGCCATATGGGAAAACTCTTTATTCTTAAAGGGTTGTCTCAAATGATATCCTTCAACTGAAGATGTCTAAAAGACATGTCTAAGAAGTCCCAAGACATCCCTTTCAAGATGTTTAAACCATCTGACTGGTGACATCCTTAAAATATCCCATAAAGACCTTGGGACAAGTCCTCCAGTTGAGGACATCCCTGGGATGTCACCATGCTATGTGGACATGACCATACCATGTAAATTGTATGCTGCACATATGAGATATGTATTTGTAGTGATATATTTTGTTATGAAAGCATGCATGCTAAACATGTATATACAATATATGAAAGTCCTTTATAAAAATCATATACTTAAACCAGTACTTATGACATTTACAATGCAACTTTAAATCAAATAACTTAAAACCATCATCATATATGTAGGAACCCACCCTTCAAACTACAGATTTATTTTTTATAGATCATATATGCTGCCCAGGTATGTTTAATGTGAGTAATCCTTTCATGGGTCATATGCTTCAACCATATATGCTCTCATATGCATGTTCATATTTCAACACATGAAATACATATTAATCTATATGGCACAAATAATTGCATATAACTACCATATATGATCTTTCCATATGGGTGGCATCATGTTGGAATCACAAGAAGCCCTCAACAATTTGCCTGTGAATGAATTGGAGTTGTGGAATCATACTCTCCACAATGTGTGAAGTTTTAATGTGGGCATCCACAGATTGAAAATTGACTGTCGCAAGTCCACCTTTCAACATAAATAGTTAAGGCCTCCACTGCAGTTAAACTTCCCAGAGGCAATTGCTGTGTATTATGTGTTGATAGGATATTGGTGTTTAATGTTTTCCCCTACTTTATTGATATCCAGTGAATACCTTGTCTGAATTGCAGATGAAAGAGTGGTTGATTGGCCATTGATGACTTCTCCTTTGGCAGCCCTCATGATCACGATGGGATACTTTTTGATCGTTGTTGTTGGTCCAAAAGCCATGACACACTTCAAGCCGCTTCCTGTTGCAAAGCTTCTCTTTCCATACAATATCTCTGTTGCTTGTCTGAACCTCTACATTGCTGTAGAGGTAAGTTCCCATGACATATGGTATGACTTGAAATTCATTCAGAATTTTCATACAAATAAAAGATGGAGTTTCCTAAAAAATTCCTAAGCTTATTGGCTTAATTACAAGATCTATATTAATTATGAATTTTTATTTTCTGTCTTTCTCTTTCTTTATAGGGCTTACATCTTGTATGGCTCCTAAAGTACAATTGGGTCTGTGAGCCTGTGCGGTACACAATAGATCCCTTAGAGATGAGAGTGAGTTCTTCAAGACCACAAGAAGTTAAATGCTGTGTACCAGGTTTGTTTTGAATATAGTTTGATGCTCTGCCTCTATAGGTCGCAGCAGTCCTATGGTGGTATTTAATCTCCAAGCTCATTGAGTTTTGTGACACTATCTTCATTATCATAAGGAAGAAGGTTGAGCATTTGACACCTCTTCACATCTATCACCACTCAACCATGTTCTTCCTTTGTTGGATTGGTGTCAGATATGTTGCGGGTGGATCAGGTATCAGTGGCTTTGTCTATTCTTAGCTAAACTCTTTGTAAGCTTCGCTCTTTCATTGAACCTGACTGATGTAGCTCTTATGTGATTTTTTTTTCCCAGCTGTGCAGTGTGCTCTTGTAAACAGCCTTGTTCATGTGTTCATGTACATCTACTATGCAATTGCCAGCCTTGGTCACACTTGGAAACAGTTCTTATGGTGGAAAAGGTATATAACCATCCTACAAATGGTGAGACATCAGCTTTCCATAAACCAAGAGCCTTGAAGAAAAGAAGTTTATAATGTCAACCTTCCATTTCCCCAGGTTCAGTTCATCATGGGAGTGGTTATGGGGACAAATGCATTGATCAGAGGTTGTGCGTTCCCAGTATGGATGCAGTATATGTTGGTCCTTTATGCATTCTCTTTTCTCCTGCTGTTCTGTAACTTCTACAGAAGAGCATACATCATACAACCAAAAAAAGAGAAGGGAGAAGATACTCAGGTGTGTGGTCCCCCATTCAGTCTTCATATTCATGCTCTTTCCTGCATGCTTGTCTGTGTAAAATTTTGGAGACATGGTATCCTGAAAAAAATAAAGGATTTGTTCATATAGATCTTTTCTATTATGTAATTTTGAAATATGTCATTACTTTGCAGGAGAATGCAGTGATCAAGTTCCCAGGCATTGATACTATAAATGGACTGCAACCACCTCAAAAGAGACATCGTCATCCGCCAAGAAATCAGAATGCTAGTCTTCATCCCATTCATTAGTCACACTGTGATAAAAAAAATTTTGATCTCATTTGACTTGCTCCAGTTTTGTTCTCAAACATTGATGTGTGGTGATTCTAGTTTTTCTTCTCATGTACAGGGTGTTTCATAAGTCATTTAATGCTTAAAAATTTATGTTCCATTTAATTTTCTGTCTAAGTAATTTTGCACATTCATGGAATGTATTGCCATTTTTCATCTACTTAAAATTTCAACAATTAAAGTTCATGTCCAGGGTGTAGCAAAAGTATGTTCCCTAAAGCAAGAAAATTGGCTCCTTTTTTTTTACTTTCCACTGAGAGTTCAGGCTCAGTATAATTTTAACAATAGAACAAAGTAGAGTAAAAGAAAGGAGGCAAATCCACACACATTTTTGTAATTTGATAACAGCTGAAACTGCTATGAAGGTGGAAAAGGAAAACTTCCATATTACCAATGAATGTATTATTTCCTTTAAACCCTCACTGGTGAGTTTTGAGATAGAAATTTCCCCATTGCAGGTAATTTTTATTTGGTTTCTAGACTTGTAACTGAAAGGAAACATTTGTTTTTTATAATGTACAGTATACATGAACTTTCACTTGGCATGTTCCTGGGTATTTGTAAAGTCTTTATGCTTACAAATGGGCCTTATTCAAAAAGTTGTAATAAAACCAGAATTTCTCAAGGTTACCACTTTGGAACATGAGTCAGTCCTATAATTTTTCAGGGATACTAGTGAAAGGGTTTATTTCGACCTGAAATGAAGAGAGGTAAAATTAACATCAAGGCACCAGAGAGTTGGGAAAAAATTTTTCCATTGAAAATATGGTGCATTTTCATGATTTTATAAAAAATTTTTTGCTACTCTCTCTACATAAATTTTTATTATAAATTATATGTTGAAAAATACCTCTTTCTAATAATGCATGCAATTCCATTTTTATTCATTTTTACGTGTGGCACAGTCTATTGACCAGTATTGACTGCTTGCTCAAATTAGAACATTTCAGGACTCATTGCTGCAGTTATTTGCTCTTAGGAAGTAAAGCCTTAGTGCCTGTGCCTTTTTCAAGTCCTGCTCATGTAACCCTCCTAACTAACGTCTGAGCTGTGGTACCTATTTGGTGTGAAATAAGATACTCTGAAGATACTGCTGAAACCTCTTTTGCTATATGGGTGGTGTCGGGTGTGTGTGCTGGCCTAACCTACTGTTCATGATCTTGCAGCCCTTGAACCTTTGGTTTAAAATCAATTTAGAAGCATGAATCAAGCTGAAGGCATAAACCATGAATACCAAATTCCATGGCTTAGACCGATAAATGGGCTTTACTTGAAATTGAAAAGCTTCAAATGTCTAATCAGCATCCTGATATCCTCACTAGTCATTGGTGCATATGGAATAATGTACTAGTCCTCTCTATCTCTAAATATTACTAATTGATTACTGCATCATGTTTTTATATGCCAAAATTGTGCAACAAAATTTATCTTGAAGGAAATTGAAGTTTACAACTTGTGACTCAGGATGTCTAAATTGCAGTGTGAAGTAGCGGAGGAAAAAATCCCATCAATGTAGGTCTTATGGACTATAAATGGACTTATAGATTGGTGAATTGAAAGGTATTTTAAATTGATCTCACTATTACTCATCCCCCTATTCCCTATTGATGGATGTCCCATTAGAGCAAAAAAAAGAAACAACTTTTTGTTTTTCATTCACTGCATGAAATTCCATGCTGCAATTATAGTGAATCCTGTATCTTTAGAAAGCTCTTTTCATTTGCTTTGATTCAGTTTACCCTATATGATAACTCTTTTTGAAGTTTCAACAAAGTTATCAAAGCAAAACAGAAATATCTGTCCTGCTTGCTGCTTCTCCACTTCTCAGATTCTTAGAGCTCTCATTGGAATGGTTTATTATATGAGATATGAATTTTTATAAGTATTTATCAACTCATGAAACACCCTGTAGGTTTCTTTTACTTTTGCTGATTTGAACTTCAGGGAAATATTTTACAGCTGTATACCTTTTAGTTTTGAAATACTGCATTAAGTTGTTATTCTCAGAAGGCAATGTAAAAGAAAAAAAGAAAATGGGATTAGGCTGTTGGAAGAATAGTTTTGGAAAAAAAGGAAGGTCACCATAATGCAAGTCTGTATGTTGCATTACTTCAAAGTAGCAAGTCAATAAAGACAGTTGTATATAGATTTTATGACAGGACTTTCTGATAGGCTTTTATGGAGTAGTTTTTTACTTTCTTATCTTTTTCAATCATTCAAATTTTTTATTATAGATTATTGAATAATTTTCTTTCACTTTTTAAGGTATTAGAACTGTGATGGACATCAACACAGTCAGGTTTTTATTTTAATTTTATGGCAATTCCTGGTGAAACACCTCGCAATGCAAATGAACAATTTAAAGAGGTTGCTGTAGCATTCTGTATACATCAATATTGTAAAATCAACAAAAATGCATAGAATTGTGGTAATGTAAACAATTGAAGTTCACCCACTGATCTCTATCCATGGCCTACTTTGATGCCAGTATCCTGTTACTCTTGCAATTGCATATTGCATATAATTGGCTCAATCTGCCTTTAGATGTACTTTCTCATATTTATGAATGGCTTCCATTGGGCAATGCTCATTACGCTTCATTTTTTACTCATGTCAATCTATATGTCATGCCACATGCTGTAGTGATAGCTAATTTTGCTACTACTTACAGGAGATTCAGGCTAACAATTTGATAATGTGTATCCTGGTGCAATCCAATCCTTTTGATATGTCCTTGATTCTTGGACCCATCTGTATTATGATGAGTCCTCCCTTATTCATTCCATTTTTCATGATTGTTCTTTTGATTGTTCTCTTTCAACTTCTCTCTCTGCTACTACTCCCATTATGTTGGGGGCTATTGAAGACCAATTTTGGCCCAAAACTGATCTACTTCATATTTATAGTAATAGAAGAGTACTTACAGGGTTGCACAGAAAGTATGTATTAGAAATTCACTCATTCCTTTTTTAATGACCAAAAAAGGTTGCAGCTCAGTAACTAGAAGCGCAAATTACATGGTGACAAAAGCTTATGATCTTACCATGTGTTGTCTTCCATGCCATCCCTCTATTTTTGCATTAGCACTTAAGTATCCCCATTGTCTCCAATAGCACTTAAGAGTCATAGTCATGCTACATTGTGTTCTTTTTAAAGAGTAGGGTAACAATTCTAATATTGACCTATTCTTATCCCTGAAAATGTGAAATTTGTTTAATCTAGAACCCATACTCCAACCAAATAATTTTTTTCCATGGAGGTGTATCTGGTTACTGAACACCACCTGCCTACCAAGTATGGACTTGGTGATTGTGTCAATATGGTTCTGCTACTTGGCTACTTTCAAGTTTTCTTTCTGTCTTTGCATGAAAAACATTATTTTTACAAACTTCCTGGCTGTAGGTTTCAGAGACATGAGGCATCCACACTTATTCTCAATATCTTGTGTACCTCATGATACATCAAATTATTTTGCCAATGCAGCTATTCAATTATTTGGAGCTTTGGTGATTTATAATGTTGATACTAAGGATAAGTAGGGAAAGTGGTTTTAATTTTTTTATTGGCTTTTTTGTCAAGGTGATAAGACTAACTGGAACTGATACTTCATGGGAGAAGTAGTACATCACAGGTGCATTTAATCAATATTTGTGACAAATTACCTATATTACATATTAAAGTATTATTACCCAACCTAGTCAATACTTTTTCCTGCATAGAGGTAGAACTAGAACGCATCAGTACTATATCTTTAATGCCAAATACAGAAGAGAGAAACCTCATTATTATTCTGGGATGAGTAGATGGGGCATTCATTATCTTAGTTGGTGCCACCTCTTAGTTCATAATGTAAACCATGATGTTCTGAAATCCTTTTGACTCTTGGTATCTTCTCCCTTCAGGGTACATGTAATTCAGTGTTGTTCATCAGACTAATATACTATAGCTCATGAATGGTTCTACATTGATGGTTCATTTCATGTTCTTAATATTGATCTCTGGGTTGATGTTCAGCATTTGCTAATTGTGAGAGCTGTAAATTGGTAAAACCAGAAGTTCATAAGACTGCTCCTGATCTCTTTTGTCAGCTAATTTAGATCAATGGATGGTGGGATTATAAGATTTTGAATTCCTTGTATTGCCCATTTGATTCTGATTCTGTTTGACATCTGTCATTTTATATTGAGTCTTGAACATAATAAAACACATTGGAATATTCAATCATTTCCATTTGATTCATTTACACTATTTTACTTTTTAATGAGCCTCCTTAACCCTTTGAGGAGTGGGTTTTTTTAATGCCTAGAAGATCATCCGTAGTGAATACATGGAGGGCAGGAGGATATCAGCCCATATATATACAAGCATTCTCGTCAAAGGGTTAAGCAATGTCCTGTATGCCTGCTGTATTTCTGTCTATATGTTAGCACAAAAGTTTAAGTCCAGGTCTTGGCTTGAATTTTCCAAAGGATAAAATATTTTAAAGGGCTGCTTTGCAAGTCATGTTCTGATTGGTGAGTATATCATTGTATGGTCCATTCCGTATGAGATGGAAGGTGAAGTATGACTTCCTCCAGTTCATAGCAGGTTGGAACTGTTGCCTGCTTTTTGTTTATCTGATTACAATAATGTTCTTGCTGTACCACGTAATATACGGATGACGTGGACTTGGTCATGAGGGGATGGTTGCTGTCATGATGGCATGTGTCATTATGAAGTGACATTGGAACCTAAAAAGACACTGAAATGTGGATGGCTTTTGGCCTTGTCCTCTGGAGCTCACCCAAAATACCTTATCAAATTTGAGACTGAATCCAGAGCAGACAAGGTTGTGTACCACGTTTTTGGAAAATGAATTTTACAAGGAGTTTCCATCAAGCCATAGATGTTTCAGCTTCACGGCAAAAATGATTAAATGTGTGTAATTTCAAGTTCTTATCTAAAGGAGTCCAATTTCC